CAACCCTGTCAACACCCTGATCTCACACTTTCGGCCTCCAGAACTGTGAATAACAAATACCAACAAAACAATACATTTCTGTTACACCCCCAGGTCTGTGGTGCTTTGGAGCAGCCTCTGTTGCTCCAAATACAGAGGTGCAGAGATATTAAGGGACTCTTTTTCTGGAGTTACACCAAAGGGAGACAGAATTGGGCCTCTACCACGGTTTTTTCTCTTTGTAGAATAATTCTTAAACTACTGATGTCTACTTACAGAGTCAACATTTATATGCCAATAAATATTTAAAATATTAACCTGAAAAAACTCAAAGTAGCAATTTAATGCCATTCCTCTTAGGTTCTGCTTCCAGTTAAGATTTAGAAGGACAGGAAAGACTGCAACTACCACTTTTACAACAAAGAACACCAGATAAACTACAAAATCATGTTTTATTTTATCCACTGGGAGAGCTAAGGTCTCAAAGAAGTGTAGAGGAACCAAATTTCAGAGGGATGGAGCCCTTGCTGAGCAAAGATCAACAGCTACAGTTATCCCTGGGGCACAGGTGGAATGAGGAGCTAATTAGCATCTAAGCTGTGGAAATAAGGATGAAACAGCCAAAAGTTAACTGTGTGGGCTGGAATAATGGATTACACCTGGATTCGAGATGTTCTAAATCTACTCCAGACTTGTAAGTGTGTGATGGCTGGTAGAAGTCAGGACAGGGATGGAAACAGAGTGGTATCTGCATAGTCACGTGAGTACTGGCACCTACGCTCTTTATGGGGAGAGACCTAAGCCTGCCATAAACCTTTGCAGCTAGTGGCAAACCCAATCCAAGCCAAACCACTTCAAATCCCAATTAAACAGAACGGCTGACCTCCTCATCCTAGCTGCCTCTCTGTCACCCTAAGAGGAGCCAGGTGAGGACACAAGGGTGTCATACAAAGAAGTAATTGCAGAGAAGTGAAGTTTGGGCAAATGTTACCTGACATCCAAACTCCTGCTTTACTCGTCAGCTGCATGAACTCATGTCAATGATGTCTTTAGTGTTTAAGCCAGTTTGATTTCTGTCATTTCCAACCAAATGAATCTTAACCCATTTATGCCTGAGGTTGCAAATTTTTTTTGTGAAAACTCAGACCTTGGCAATGACCTTGAGCAGTAGAGTATAAACAACTTCCACAAGCTTAGCATTCCAATGATGGAACACTAGGCATAATTGGTGCAAAGCACAAGACTTGACCAACTTGCACATTACAGAGGATATACATGTATTATACATGCAAATTCTTGCATAAATTAGCAATACACAGTTTCTAAAGAGTTACCGTATCCATCAAATACTCACTGACATTACCTTTATAATGCTATAAATGAACAAGGCAATACTAGAAAATAACCACAATGAGTTTTTAAGACAATGATAACAGAATTTAACCTATAAAGTAGACATCAGTGCTTCACAGAAACCACAGTTGGAGGCAAAATCACGTTCCAATGAGCTCACCACTACTCAGCATATCAGTGGGATTCCTATGTAATGGAAAGTAACTCTTCTATTTCACCTTCTACCATATACATGTGAAATACACCATGGGTGAAGAGAGGAAGATTCATATTGTTACTTAAGTGCATGAAAATGCTGGGAGGAAGATTCTAAACTGAATCATAGTGGAGAAATTAAAATAAGCACTGAAGGAAGATTAAAAGGTCTGAAATCAAAATAACTGTTTAAAAATCAAGGAACATTTCAAAATATCCAAGGTACCATTTTAGTTTGCCAAGTTCCAACCTGGAGTGCTATTTTATGGATCAGTTTATCAGGCGCCCAAAATAAGGAGCAATGTAGGAAACAGGATCAGACTATCCCCTCACCTGAAGCCCCAAAGACCACTAGAAATGCAACCTCAGTAGTATCCAAGGGAAAGAAACATTTCCCAGGTGGCCTTTGCTGTGTCAGTCCTTCTAGCCCCCACCCCTGCTCAGACATAAAATCCTGCTCAGCAGAGCGGCGCACCTGGGTTCACCTTTCAAGTACACTGAGGGCTCCATGGAGGAAGTTTCTTAGACTCCTCCTCACCTGCAAGAGCAGGCAAGGCTACTCTCAGACCATGTTCAAGGCTATCATAACACAGGGTCAACAACAGGGCATGAAACCTACGGCTGCCATGTTCAGCCAGGAAGAACACGTTCCCATGGGAAATCTTGGATTAATCTGATTAATCTTTCTAGGAAAGATTAGGGAACTTCTAGGAAACTTCAAGAATGTACTTTGCAGATGTCCCAGTAAATTTAATTTTCCTGATTTCTAAACTCCTGATGTTTGAAAGCTAATGCAAACGAGATAGGGCCTAACTGACTGCTCATTAGCTCAGCCTATTAAAAGGCCCGTTGTCCCTCTCAGGACAGCCACATTTACTGAATATTTCATGCAATGCAAGAAGGACCAGAAGCAAAATATGTAACTCTCCTCTGCATCTGTGTTCCCCACTAGTGCAGAGCCTGAGTCTGGCACAACCTTAAATACGCACATTACAGCCTGCTCAAAGCAAGCTGATGCAAGGTTTGAGAGCAGGGAAGGAGATATTACATTTTTAAGCAAGTTCGGAAATTTTTCCCTACAGTGTTGCATGGCTGCTCTTGTTTTAACTTTTTCCATCATATCCACCCCACCCTGGTTTTGTTAATTTTATTTCCTCATTAAAGGCTAAACAGTCTATCAAAAGAATGCCTCAAAACTCTTCTTAGGGACAAAAAGGCAAACACAAGCACCATTTATCATGTTGTCAGTGATCCTCAGTATCACACGACTAAAGAGGATGGAAGGCGGTCATTAGACAAACATCCCATTATCTCATCTACAAGCATGCTGAGTTCTGACCATAGACTAGCGGCTGATGAACGGTGGTGTGAGCAGAGGGAACAGTGAGAAGACACATTTATCCTTTGTTTCATTGCATGGTCCTGCTTGACGGTGCTCAAATGGGAAAATCCACTCCCGATGGCCCACAGGTGCTATTCCTCAGGTTTAACAGTCCTAAATGATGTGGTTTTCAATACCAGCTGAACATCAGGACCACCTGGGAGCCTTTACATTGCCAGATGTCCTCAGGATGTCTAATTAAAGTGTTTCTCTGAGGGTGGGACCCAGGCGTGAGGAGTTGTTAAAGCTCCCCAGGTGAGCAGGTGAGGCCAAAGTACAGGCAGGACTGAGAACCACTGCCGTAGAGAAATCTCTCTGCCTCTGCGCCGGTACGTCAAGACAGAACGAGGTAGAGTCAGGGGCTCAGGTTAAAAATAGCACGCTGGGGAGGGTCAGGCATAGTGGCTCATGCCTATAATCTCAGGACTTTGGCAGGCCAAGGCGCGAGGATCACTCGAGCCCAGAGATTCAAGACCAGCCTGGGCAACATGGCGAAACCCCATCTCTACCAAAACAAAAATTAGCCAGGTGTGGTGGTGCACGCCTGTGGTCCCAGCTACTCAGAAGGGAGGATCACCTGAGCGCAGTAGGTCAAGGCTGTGGCAAGCCATGATCACACCACTGCACTCTAACTTGGGTGAGAGAGTGAGACCATGTCTCCAAAAAAAAAAAAAAAAGCCATACTGACGTCAAGCCCACACACAACCATTAGACTTACCAAAGACCCTGTTTCCTATTCAATGGTATTGTTCAGGTACTAGTAATTTTATTTGGTCCTCCTTACTTTTGTAAGGATGCAGAAAAAACAGAAAAACCCTAACGACTTCATTTGAGACTCAAAGCTCTCCTGAGGTTTCAGAGATGCCCTCTATCCAGCACAATCACCTCTAATACCCACCCTGCCCACCCAGACTAGGCTAAGGAGAAAGTCAACGTACTTCCATCAAGTCCACACACAGCAGCTGAGCTCAACTGCAAAACTTGTTTACAAATAACAAGGTAATTCTAAAGCAGTCATACAATTTATTCCCAATGTCACCAGGATACTAAACCAAGACCCATTGTTTCCAATGTCACCAGAATACTAAACTACATTAGTACACCAGAATACTAAACTAAAATACTAAAATACACACAGCATTTTCATACAAAGATAAGCCTTTAAACTACAGAAGCACAACCCCCAGAAGTCAGCAGTGGTTCTCACAGCAGTGGTTCCTCCCACAATCTCCTGGGAGGAAATGCCACCTGTGATCCAACTTCATCTGGGGACATTTGCAGCCCCATGAAATGTTCTTAAACACGTGATGGGTAACCAACATTAGGGACGCTCAAAGAGAGACCCAGAGTATAAGAGCCCCAGGTTCTCCCCCTACACTGCATATTAAAATCACTTTTAAAAACACTGGAACCCAAATCATACCCCAGACTAAAAAAGATCAGGATGCTGGGGGACAGGCCAGTGTATGGCATTTTTAAAAGCAGTGGTTCTCACACTTTAGCACACATCTAAATCCCCTGGAGGGCCCATGAAACTAGAGATTACTGGACCCTCCCCCAGAGTTTCTGATTCACAGGTCTGGCCTGAAAATGTGCATTTCTAACAAGTTCCCAGGTGATGCTGATGCTGCTGGCCCGGGGCCACATTGCAAGAATCGCAGCTGCAGAGGCGTCCCAGGTGGCTTTAATTAGTGCAGCCAGCACTCAGGAGCACTGTATTATTAAGAGTGAGTGCCTGGTCAGGGCACCAGGAGGAGGGAATTCTCGTCCAAGCTTGGCTACAAACCTGGGGTTTGATCAGTAAGCCCTAGAGGATTTTTGGACCTCAACTTGCTCTTGATACATAAAATTGAGGTACTGCATGAAAGAGATCATGGGTTCCTTGCAGAAATAAAACGATGACTTTTTCAAAGGGCTGCTGACACTAAGACACATAAAAAGGAAAAGGAAGTGGTCTTAGGGCAATAAAACAGCTTTTGAAATATAGGGGAAGGTAAGTTCTCACTCACGTGGCTTCAGTGCACTTGGAGACACACAAAGGATGCGGGCTGTGCGTGTGTTCTAAGCCGGTCATGCTGCTGCCCTGACTCACCTGTTAGAACCTTGCAGAGCTGCCCAGAACTCTGAGCCTCGGCAGAAGGGTTGGGAGTCAAAGACCATTTGCGCCTGATCAGATGCTCTCGTCCACTGAATGGGCCCTGGGAGTTGTTGAGGGGCTGGATTAGCACCTGCTCCTGCCCAAGCTGAATGAGGCCAACCTGTCCAGAAAGGAGAAGGAAATGCAATGTCGGTCATCCTCATTCACACATGCCCATGGCCCCCTCCACCAACGGAGGGGCAGGCAAGGCCACCTAGGTGTGAGTTCCATGTCTGGGCTCTTTTCTTTGCAAATTGGTCAGATTTACCTGAGCCCAAGAGTGAGCTTCTGTGTAGCTTACAAACATACCACAGAGCAGCTGCGTTGGGGGTGGGGATACAGAGACAGGTACAACAATATCCATTTTCCATGTTGCCTTTCAGAGAAGATGAACTACTTCATTATCAAATTTTTAATTTTAAAATTATTTTTTAAGTTACTGTAAAAATCATCCTCCCAAAAGTCCACCTGGGAGGCAATACTGAAATTGTTGGGAGTGACATTTATATCCCTAATGGAAAAATGTATCTTATCCTGGGTATATTAAAAGTAACATTAGTATTGTTTTGACAGCATCAAAACAATTTGCCCTCCTTCCCCAGGCACCTGCTGCTAGTTTCCCTTCTTATGTGGAGTCAAAATGATAAATCTCTCAAGGAAATCAAACCCAGGCAGGGCCAGGGGAGGACCTGGTTTGTACACTGATCGATGCAGTCAACATCCGCTTCTCCTGGGAATGATCCTGAACTGCCTTTGATTGCACAGATTCAAGAGATCTGGGGGATGAGTCTCAGGGGGTCATGATATCCTTTCTTGTCTCCCTCTTCCACCCTCACTTTTCAAAAGCCATGACACACATTGGTTCTCAAAGCCTAGCGCGCACCCAAATCACCTGGAGGTCCTGCTGGAGCCCCAGAATGTGCATTTTCAAGAAGGTCCCATGTAATACAGAGACCACACTTGGAGAAGCAGTACTCCCTACCACACGCAGAGCTAACTCCAGGCTCAAGTATAAAGCTCACGTAAGCCAAATGAGATAGATCCCCCTCTACATTCTGAAAGGATGCACCCGTACCAAGATTCCTGGAAAGTACATCAGATCAACTAATAAGATCGCCTGCAACCTTGCATCCCCAAGATACAGGGTGAGGCCATACTTACCGCTCTAAGCATATGTCAAGGTTTCCATTTCATTAGAACTTTTGCCAAGAACAACTCAAAGATTTTTACTGCCCAAATAAAACTATCTCAAAGTGGCACTGCATGACCTGCAGGAGAGCACAGCTTTCCTCCCTCTCCTTTAAAGTGAAAACTTGAGTTTGTTCACTAGGAAACTTCACGGAAACTGAAGAAATGGAAGAGGGTGGCCACAGTGGGATCTGCAGAGCTCCATCATAGCTGCGCACAACGCAGCCTCAGTGCAGAACACCTGAAAACTTCCGCGGTCAAGATAGGGTGGGCAGGGTACGGCACAGCGCGTGGGATGCAGCCCTGCGTGGGAGGAAAGCCCTGCTCCCTAGAGGATACGCTTCACTCTAATGAGGGGCTGGACTCACGTGGAAACACCCTGGCTGTGGGTCAAACCACTCCCCACAATCTAGCACTTTCAAAGCCAGTTCTTACTCGTTCAGTCTAGAGTTTGCATTCACAAACCCCAGCATAAAAAGCCGTTAGCTGTTAGTTCTAAGGCCGAACAAGTTTTTAAAGACAGGGAGATCTCACCTTGGTGAGAAATCCTACACAGACACACTCATATATACATGCAAAGCATCACTTAGCACCTTGGGGAAGGTTTTTCTTTACAATTGTCAGGGACCCCATGTGCTGGTTTCTATAAAGTAAGGAAGAAAACAGCAATGCTGGGGAATGATGGATAAATGGACTAGTGCGTCCTCAACCTGGCAGCCACTTGCCCACTTGGGCTCCGACCTCAAGCAGGGATGTGGCCAGGAGTAGCACCAGGAGGGAGGGGCTGCACAGGGCCCTCACCCTGGGAACCAGCATGAGGAAGGGCCCTGCCTCCTCCTCCCTCACTGACCCTAGCCTCCTTCAAGCGTCTCTAACACTGCCATTGTCAGCACACCACCAGTGGTCAAACGTCCTGTTGAGAAGTGCCACCTGTGCATTACACACAGTCTTACGCCAAAATACCCACCAGCCCTCCTTCTCTCTCCCTGACTCCTCTCTTCCCTAAATAACCCCCCTTCCCTGCAGCCCCCTGCACTGTTAAATTCCAGCCCACTACCGCATGTCATAGGACACTTTCACGACCTAACGGTTTGTTCCACTGAGGCAAGATCAGAATTATTACTCCTGTTTTTGCCAATGACTGCCACATAACAGTTACTCAAAAAGAAAATATACAACTGAAAACGCAGTTACCTGTAAGGACTGCCTGCAACCCCCTTGCTCAGGGCTTCTCATCCCCGGCTACATATTGATATGATTTGGGGAGCTTTGAAAACTCCTGATGCCTCAGCCCTATTCCAGGCCAAGTGAATCAGAGTATCTAGGGTGGAGCCCAAGGAACTGATATGTTTTCAAAGGTGACCAGGAAAATTCAATGTGTAGCCAGGGTTGAGAAGCGCCGTCCTAGCGTTTAACTGGGTGCTGGAGACCCTGGACACCTACTGCCTTGATTCCATGTGGAGAGGTCCTCGGATTTGGAACCCAGGCTTTCCTCCATGGAGCTCTGTGCACTACCCTTGCTTCTAGCCCACCACTGCACGTGGCCCCAAGAGCTGAGCAGGGCTTCTTGGATCTGTGTGACTCCTGCAGTCACCATCTACGCGGAGAGGGGAGACTCAGGGAAATGTTTGTCCAAGGCCTCTTCTGTCCCATTGATGGCGGTAAAGAAATACCAGCAATGAGCCTGTGTCTTAGATACAGGAGGCCTGCAACCGTCCTCCAAAGAGACAAACTGTGTAGAAATAAATGCCCATGGCAGACAGAACCGGCAGCCCTGAGGCCCCTTGGTTTTAAGGGATATAATAAAGCCCCCAATGAAATGGTGCTCTTAAAAGAGAAATCTTAAGTTTTGCAGGATTTGGTATGCTATACTAAAGAAGTGTGGGTCAAATAAAATGGATCAGGCAATAACTTGATATTTCAGCAGTTGTGAGTGGTTACCTTTCAACTCTCTTTGTTGTGGGTACTTGCTTTGAAGGGTTCTGTTAAGACAGAGTTGTAAATCAGGTATTGTTCACTCCACACCACCTCCTGCCTGAAGCAGGACTAGCTCTCACTGCAGTGTGGAGAGTGTGAAAGACACAGCCGTTTTTATCACCTAATGTTAGCACAAGTTCACTTAGAAAATGCAGTTAAGATAACAGAGAAAGTCTGTCCTGTATGCTTCAAAGCAGCATGCCTCTGCGGGAGGGGACAAAGTCACATGATTCCACAAAGACGGCAATGGAATTGCCTTTCTTCAGGAGTCTGCCACTCCTCAGTTAACAGGAGTGGGTCTTAGGTCTCCTTCTCTAGGTCAAGATGGGTTGAGAGGATGGGGCCAAAGGGGTGGTGAGTTTGCTTCCTGTAGGGACCAACCTGCTTCCAAGAAGAAAAAGCCACCGTGTGACTGCAGATCCTCCCACCCTGCCTCTGACTCTCCGGTGGGCATGCACCTCTTCCCGTGAAAGGAGCCTCCCCAACACAACACAGCCATGCGGGGCTTCCCAACCTGCACCCCTTCTGAGGCATCAGCCAGAGGGCCCCTCCCCCAGTCCTGCTGCCGCCTCCTCGAATGTGAAATGCCTGAGCACAGATGCTTGGTCTTTTTCCCAAAGCAGGCCTCTCCTCAGTAATGTCAGGGTCCCTCACTTCAGTGTCAGCCCTTTCAGACCACTAGTCAGTGTCAGCCAGCCAAAACGGACTGCCAGCCTGCCCTTCAGAGTCCCTCTCCTGTGGACTTCCTTCCTTTCTGAGGCTTGCCTCAGAGGCTTGAGCCTGGTCACCTCCCTGCTCTAAGTGCTCCTCTCCACCAGTCCTCCCCATACAGCTATCCCCAGGATTCCCCAACTACTCATCCTCCATTGCCTCTCAGCCAGTGACCCTGAGAGTGCCCTCCCAGAATAGCTGCATCAGCATCCCCTGGGGAACCTGCGAGAAATGCAAGCTCTCAGGCCCATCCCAGGCCTGCTACATCAAAAACTCCGGGGTGGGGCCCAGCCATCAGTTTAACGGGCCCTCCAGGGGACTGTAATGCCAGCTCAAGGCTGAGAACCACTGCATTAGGATAAAGTCCAAATGCCTTTGGTTGACACCCATAGACCTGCCCCATTTAATCCACATGCCTGCCAGTTCAGTTCCTCTACCCCCATCTCTCCCTTAAAACCACCACCCCACCAATCCACTCATGGGTCCCTTATCTCAGGACAATGGGGCCTCAGTGCCTTTTCCATCACTCCTCCCTCCTGGAATCTGAAGCCTACCCTCCTCCCTCCCTGAAACCCCGCCCTGCCTAGTTCCAGGCTCCAGCGCATCTTCCTCCAGGAGGCTGGGACTGTCTTCCCAGACAGGGCCTGCATTGTCTTTCTCTCTGAGCCTTGCTGGGCGGCCTACCAGAGCATCCTGCACATGGCAGGTGTGTGATAATGATCGGCTCATTCAGGCAACAGTGATGACTGATCAGCTGATGTATAACTGGAAAAGTCTGGGAACAGCCTGCAGGGCAAGAGAAGAAGCCTGTTTTTAATGCCTTAATGTGCCAGGCTCTCACTAAATGATTTCACAGACTTTATCTTCTTCCATTCTATCAACAGCCTCGCAAGGCCCATGTTATTTACCCCTGTATGGCTGCAGGCAGAAAGGTTCAAAGGACTTAAATGACTTGCTCAAGACCGCAGCTCTGAATGGCCATACGGTTTCATTTCCTAAGAAGCAAGAATGTGACCATGCATCTGGAGACCTGTGCACGGAAGCAGGTCCAGGGAAAAGTTAACCAACGACTCTGCATGGTTCCCTCAGATGTACTGGCTGCAAAAAACATCTTCCCCATCACACACATCCAAGATCAGGCAGCTGCAGTATTTCAGAGTTCAGGAAATAAACTCCAAGAATGCAATCAGTCAAAGAAAACTGCTTCAGTTCATCATTCCATCTTTTACTTCTTTTTCATTTTTTTTTAAAATGTTGTCAACTAAACAAAAGTTCAAAGTGGGAAAATCCAATATGTGTCCTAGGCGATGCTACTGGGCAGCTTGGTGCAGAAGCAGTCAGTGCCTGGCATCCTAAGAGGAGTCAGCCCAGCCCTGGAGAGCTGCAGCTGGATGAAGCCCCGGGCAATCAGGAGGAACACAAGAGTATACAGTGCTGGAGAGGACAAAGGGGTGTGAAGAGAAGCCACCATGAGGCCACAGGAATGTCATTCCAGAGGTGGCAGCCAGAGGCCTTAGAACTTTCTGAGTTCTTCCCTCCAATACTTCCATGCCTCCAAACTTCACGAAACTGTCTTTGCCCTTCTTTGATTCCTGCCAAAGTGCCCCTTAACATCCACTCAATTGTTTCTTTTTACAAAGGTCTATATATGTGCTTTGTATTCTCTGTATTCTCCAAATATATTTATTCTGCACACGAGCAATTCTTCAGCAATACTAGGTAATCACTTAGGACAAGGTACCTTCCTCAGACCTGTCTCAATATAATGACGTATTATAATGCAGTCCCTTCCAATGGGTCTCCACACCATATCATTTTTGACAAGACTAATTCCTACTCAGCTGTTCTCCATCGAGTGAGGCTGCATTATAAAGCTGGGCAATTCTGTAAATCAATCAAAAGGGTTTGATAACTCTTTTCTAAAGAGAGAGGTAGTAACATCCCAAACCTGCTTCTTCATCACAGGAGTCATGCAAACGCAGGCTGCCCTCTTAAAAGTGGGGTCCTCAACACTTCTAACCTAAGCTGCCTACTCATCAGCTGGCTGAGCTCGCCCAGGCTGGAGTAGATTGGTGGGATCTCAGCTCACTGCAAGCTCCGCCTCCCAGGTTCAAGTGATTCTCCTGCCTCAGCCTCCCGAGTAGCCAGAATTACAAGCGCCCACCACCATGCCCAGCTAATTTTTTGTATCTTTAGTAGAGACAAGGTTTCACCATGTTGGCCAGACTGGTCTTGAACTCCTGTCCTGGTGGTCCGCCCACCCTGGCCTTCCAAAGTGCTGGGATTACAGGCGTGAGCCACCACACCCGGCTGCCCCCATCTATTCTTACCTGGACTACACTTGCTCCCCTATAAATTAGAGATGAGCATTCTCTAAAAGTTCTCTAGTGGACTGGAACAGCTGTACAGAACTATGAAGGTCCCATGTGCCACAAATGACGTGCTACCAACATGGACACATGGTCTGCAGTCAGGCTGACCAGCCGGAGTGAGGATGAGCTGGGCCACCAGGTTGACCCCAGTGATTCCAAATAAGAGTCCTACAGCATGTGGCTGTAACAACAGAGGAGCTATGGTAGGAGGATCCCTGACCTTCTCACAGTCCTTCTGGGTGCCCTGGAAAGCGGTTATGGCTTAATGTTTTGCAGCCCAGAGCTCCCTGGTGGTCTGTCTGGTCCCACCATCTCACAGTGTGCCCCTGGCAGGCCACAGCCTTGGCCAAGAAGGGGTGGACACATTCCAGTGGGTGGCCTTCGCGAGCTTTGTGAGTGTCATCCAAGGAAGGATGGCCGCTGCTCGGCAGACCAAACCTGACAGCAGGGGCCTCCAGCCCTGCCCTCCTCTCGTTCCCTCGTCCTAAAACAAGCCCTCCAGCCACTCACTTTGGACAAGCTGCACAGATTCTTTTCAGAGCCTGACACTCATGCTGATCTTGAAGTACCCTCTTTGCTATCCTGTCTACCTATGAAGTTCAGCCTGATTCCAATTCCACTGGCCTTCCACAATCCGGTCCTGGTCACAGAGCCAGTTGATCCGAACTTACATAAATTCTTAAGGAGTGGAAAGGCCCTCCTCATACACCTAAAGTTCATGCTTTGAAATGATATGCTCATAAAAACACTTCCAAAAAGCCTATGCTCTAAAGACTCTTGGAAATGTAAATACGATGAAGATGCATAAATAGGAAACAATTAATACTTAAGTCTATATAGTCTTTGAAGATCCAAAAAGTGCAGCTGGCCCAGCTTTTCAAGATAAGACACTAAGAAAGGAACGCCGCAGGCCCATGACTGTCTGCTGTCAAAAGGAGAAGGAGCAAAAATGGAACAGGTGCTTTACTCTCCATGGCCCCTAAACAGCTAAGGAATGATCTATTATAATAATGCATTTCCTTTAAACAGATAGCAAACATCTCTGGAGATAAACAGCACAGATTCCATGCAACATGGAACAGAACCTGTGTGCCCCCAGTCCAGGCACTCAACACTCTCTGCTGAGCCCTTTAGGAGATGTTCGATACAGTGGGACTTACCAGCAATTAACATGATACTCAACATCCGGAATGAAGTTTTGTTGAACGCAGCCACATCCATTCGCTTGTATGCCTTCCATAGCTGTAGCTGCTTTCACACTAAAAGGGCAGCTTTGAGCAGCTGCAACAAAGGCTATGTGGTGCACAAAGCCTAAAATATTCATCTGATCCTTCAAAGAAGTTTGCCGACTCTTGCTCCCCATTTTTAGATACAAGGGCACTTTGAAATGCTCCTCATCCACGGCCACCAAAAATCATCCACTTATAGCCTCCCTTCTCACACCTTATAGCCGAGCCTGTCGTAGCAAATACACACACAAAACTCCACATCTCCACTTCACAGAGCTTCCACCACGGTCAAGAGGGACTAACACAACATCACCAGCCACCTGAACTGAGAACCAAAGTCAAAGCTAGTCTGCAATGCAAACTTGGTTAGCCCAAGTTTCTGTTGCTTTCTTTTCTTTACACTTTCAAGGCCACCTTGCAAGCAAGGGGTCCACCTCCAAGTCACCCCATTGTCTCTTCCCTCCTGCCTTCAACATGTACGGAGGGGGAAGTGTCCAACGTCCAGCTTACATGAATGGGATGAACAAGGCAGACTAAACAACAGAAGTGTCTGCTCCAGCAGGAATTTAAAAGCTGAAGTCTTAGAGGTACACCCGCCACTGGCACACACTGAACTCAGCCTGTTGGCCGGGTTCCTTTATCTAAAGCACAGCACCCTCACATGGTGCTGAAGGGAAGGACAGTCTTGCTGAGAAGCTGGCTGAGATGCCATCTATGAAAAGGCCCAGCCCTCACTCTGCGAGGATTTTAAATCAATGTTATCCAGCTTTCCACCTCGGCTCCTTCACAGATAGCTCCTTGCTGGAAACTTTACACCAAGAAGTATAAACTCTGACCTCTACAGAAACTCACTAAACCGCAGCAAATGGGATTCAGATGTTTCCATGTACAGTACAATGATGTGACTTAGACTTTAAACACTTTGGCAAAAACAGGAAAAATGATGTGGGCCTTCCAGTCCCTCCCAGAACATGATACAGCCTTGACCCAAGCCCTACAGTGATCTGAGCCTTTCTCACTCCTACTTAAGCCTCCTTGTCCACAGCCCACATTCCCTGCCTCAGGTCCACATTCCCTGCCCCAGGTCCACATTAGCTCCTTCCTACCAGGCTCCCTCCAAGGGTTTATATCACTTTCCTTGGTTCACCAAAGTTGCCTATTTGTCCCAGCTAAGCAAAAGCAGATCATACCCTAATCAGAATTCAGAAAATTCCTGAAAGGAGAGCCAGGCTGAGCTAGGAAACTATACCCAGAGATACCCAGAGCACTGGGAAGAAAGGAGAGGTCTCACATAACACCTTGCACCCTCAGGCCTTCTGGCTTCGTAGATTCTCGAGGATTTGCCAGAGACTCTGTAAGGGCTGGAGAATTCCAGATGGCGGCACAAGAAAAGGTGGAAATGTGGGGAGCAGTTTCTTGTGCCTGGGAAGGACAGACACAAACTAATATCAGAAACTGCCTCCAAAGAGGCCAGTCAAGACAGAAGACAAAGAACATCCCTGCGGTTCATGCTCTGGGTCCATACCAAGCTTCGCTGGGGGCAGCCCATCTGCTGGCCATGTGTGCTGCTTTCAGGGCACGATGGAGAAGCTGAGTGCTCGTCTGGGCACCAGTGTAGCCACATGATCAAGTGTGTGCACAGGCAGGGCAAGTGCACACAAGAACCCCCCGGCCCCCGGGAGCACCTGTTACGGGTGCCTCAAATGCAACAGGCCAGGGACTTGGGGGCAGGGAAGTTACTACCACAGCAAGGGAGCTCCTGTGGGCAGGAATAGGGTTCATCACCAATGTAAGCACCCCTCAGGCCTGGTTGTGGGTGGGCACCAGACAAATGCCTACTAATAGTATAAGGAGGCAAAGACAAACACCCTTTCTCTCCTGTTTCTTACATTTCAGCTAAGAAGAGCGGGGTGAGCCACAGCCTGCCTGGGTACCTCTCCAAACTTCCTGTTCCAGGTACAGAGAGAAGACTCAAAAGCAAGGGAGGTGAAAGCCCAGTCCCCCACCACCACGTCCAAGAACAGAACACCTATACGCACATAGGTACTCCCGTGATATACAGGCTGACACAGCGGTGTAGATGCAGTGCTCAGTCTACACTGGGGCCAAGGCGCCTCTGTCCAGAGCCCTGACAGTTTCATCCCTGCCAGGTCTGCGCTCCCTAGGGCGGGCGGCGTATAACCCATGCAACCCAGCTCCGCGCGGGTTCCACCGGCCGCAGAGGCGCTGGACTACGATGCTGCCCCTCCCACTCCCTTTCTCTATAGTGGGTACCGAAAGCCGGGGTGGGGGGTGGGGAGAGGTGGAAAGGCAGGAGGTTCCCTCCGGTTCCCCTGGAGGCTGGACTTCCAGCAGAGGCGACCCATCCCCACCCTCCACGGCGACCACCCTGCGCCACAGCAGACCCGACGGGCCGACCCAGAGGGGGAGCGGGCAGTACCAGGCCGCCGGCGGCGCCGCAGGCGCTGAGCGAGACGAGGGAGCCGGGGTGGCCGACCACACGGCCCGAGTAGAAGCACAGCTCGGCGGGGCGGCCGCGGCGCCCGGCGGCGCCCGCCTCCTCCACCTCGAAGCCTCGGGACAGGAAGCGCAGGTCGCGGCGCAGCTGAAGGTACAGGTCGCGGCCGAAGGCCGGCAGGTGCAGCAGCAGGGCGCGCTCTCCCGGCCGGGCGCGCGGGGTAGCTGGGGGCGTGCGGGGGCGTCGCCGCCGTCGGGGCCCGGGGGCTGAGGGCAGCGGCGGCAGGTGCACGTCGTCTGGGCGCACCCGCCACGGGAGCACCACCTCCACGTCGGCCGCCGCGTCGCCGACAGCTGCGGGGAAAGAGGAGACGCGTCAGCGCGGCGGGGCCCGCCCGGACGCCCGCCCTCCCGCTGGCCGCCAGCCGCGCCAGCGCGGGGACAGAGCGACCCGGAGCTGGCGCTGCCTTCCCTTCCTTCGCCCGGCACCTCCACGCTGGCCCGCGCCACCCGGGGAGGGTCTCCCGCGCAGCCGCCCGAGCACCTCCCGGGACGGCGCCGCGCATCGGCAAGCGGAGACCCGGCGGCGGCGCGCCTGCCACGGAGCCACCCGATTCCCGTACTCCGGCAGCTGCCCGCGTCTTCTCCGCTCCGGCGCCGTCAGCCGTCCCGCCGCCGCCCCAGGGCCGCCAGGACGCCGCGAGAGCGCACAGGGAAGGTAGCCGCAGGACGCGGGGCGAAGAGGGCTGTGGGAGGGGGCGCTACCTGTGCCCGGGTCCAGTCCCCAAACCAGCAGCAGCAGCACCGGTAGGACGAGCGGAGGCAGCAGGGCGCCGTCACACATGGTACCCGGGACCGGCAGCCCCCGGACCGTGGCGGCGAAGCAGGAGCGCGCTAGGCGGCGGCGCCAGCCGGAGTGAAGCCCTACAGCCTTTGGAAAAAGTAATTAGCGCTGCGGACAAACCCAACGTGGTAAACCCCAAGCCCCGCCTTCCCCTCGGAAAGCGGGAGGGGATTGGGCCCTCGCTTTCCTCCGCCCCGCCTCCTCCTTCCCTACTGGTTGGGATGGGTCGAAACCATAGTGCGTAGTTAGGTTGTCAGCACTTTCTTACACGTGGTTTCTGGGCAGTGGCAGGGACACGGCACCAGGAGGCGCGCGGGAGCCGACCAGAGCCTTGCGACCCTGGAAGAGCCGGAGGATGCGGGGCTGGTCTTCAGAGCTTGTCCTCATTTTTTGGAAATCTTCTCTCAGCCTGCTGCCCAGTTTCCCGGGAAGATAGGCCGGAAATCGCCCCGGCCAAGCGGTTTCATCCAAAACTGCATATACTCTTTACATCTAAAGTTAGGTTTTAGTTGTTTGTGGCTGGAAAGACTCCCAGTCCACTTTCCCGCACACCTGAGTTTGCACCTGAAGGCTATATCCGCGGCGTTTATCCAAACTCTTCACACGTCCTGTCGTCTTTAATCCCACAGGATCCAGTGCAACAGGCATGCTCACACCCTCTTACAGATTGAAAAACTGAGGAAGAGAGAGAGCTTAAGGAAAAACGCTTAAGTTACCCAGAGAGTTCCTGTTGGAGCAAAGACTAGAATTTGTGGTCCTGATTTCTGGCTTGGTGCTTATTAACAGCAGGATCCCCCCGCCCCGAGGGAGGCAGCACTCAGTGTTACAGGTTAGGAAACTGAGGCACAGAGTCCCAAAGCCTGGACTTGAACGTGAGTCTCCCATAACAGAATGAGTTGATCCTTTCCTGCCAGAATATAACTGAGGTCTGCAGGGAAGGTGACTCCATTAACTTGCTGAATAGCATCTTGTAGAGGCTCACGCCTGTAATCCCAGCACTTTGGGAGGCCGAGGCGGGCGGGTCACCAAGTCAGGGGTTCGAGACCAGCCTGGCCAATGTGGTGAAACCCTGTCTCTACTAAAAATACAAAAATTAGCCAGGCGTGGTGGCACGCACCTGTAGTCCCAGCTACTTGGAAGGCTAAGGCAGAAAAATCGCTTGAACCCCGGGGGCGGAGGTTGCAGTGAGCCGAGATTGTGCCACTGCACTCCAGCCTGGGCAACAGAGCAAGACTCCGTCAAAAAAAAAAAAATTAACTGAAGTGTAACCATAACCAATCTCAGGTTTCACTTCCCTTCCCTGTCCTGCCCTCTTCCATTTTATCAAAGCAGAAAGGTTACAGTTCCCCACTGGATGCTGCTTGAAGCCTGGGAATCTAAATTCATCACAGGATTATATATCATGTGAAGGAATCTATAACACTGTCTAGCTTCCCCGAAATATAATGAACCCCAAGGCTGAACAGTGGCCCTCCACAGAGGCTTGCCACAAAAGGGGCTGCCACTCACTGCTTGGCATCTACAGTTCTGAGGGCATCTGCACAGGTCCTGCTCTTGGCCAGGCCTGGGGCTGGGTTTCTCCCCCTTGCCTCTGTCCAGGTCCACAGCCTCAGGCAACTGACAGCTCAGTAGCATTTTCTGGCAGCACAAGAAACCCTGGTGATTGAGGTGATAGATACCCCATTTACCCTGATGGGATTATTACTCGTTGTATGGCCATATCAAAAAATTTCATGTATATACATTTTATAAACATATACACCTACTATGTACTCACAAAATATTATTTTAATTTTTTAAAGATATCACCGTAAGCTTCCTAGTGAATCTTTTTGTCAAAAAGAGCCATTTATAAGGCCTGCCACTGAAAACCATGGAGTATGGGCCACACCACCTCACAAGCACAAGTCAGCCCGAAGTAGCCATCACCAACCTATCAGATGATGCTCAAATGCTAAAATTAGTCCATAGGGACATGAAAACTAAAACAGAACGATACTATTTTATCTCCCAACCAAAATCAAAGAGCTTAGAAAAATCAAGAATTAGAGAGGACATTCTCCTGCCCGTGCGTGGGAGTATAAATGGCCACGGCCACTTTGAGGAACAATTGGGCAAACTGTAAAATTAAAGTTTTACTTTAGTTTTAGTAAAACTAAAAATGCACACATTCTACAACTCTGTAATTCCACACTGGTTAATTACTCCAGAGAAACTCTGGCACATATACAAGAATGTTTGTTCACCAGGGCACCTTATTAAGAGCAAAAAATTGCAAAAACCTGAATGTTCATCATTACATAAATGGCTACTTGAACACCATTAATTAAAAGAAATACAAAAATCTCATATATATAACAACGTGGACAGATCTCCAAGATCAGTTACCAAATTTTTCAAAAAATCAAGTTGCAGAATGATGCATACCAAAAAAAAGTATGTAAACACACAGACCCATATGACATAATCTGCATGGATTCAGATAAATGTATGTAAAATCAAAGAGAAAAGTCTGGAAGAATACACACCAAACTTTGTTAAGGTTTATTGTTCTTTTTTTTATTAAATTGCATATTGAGGAAAGATACTGCAAAAGGAATATAAAAACCTGGGACCCCAATTCACTCTGCCAAAAGAAAGTCAAGCTGAAAGCTGAGTCATGCAATAAGCTGCCTTTTCTTTTATTCCTAAGCAGATAGCTACAGATAAAAGGTTAAACATCTCCACAGGTAGCTGGTAGAGTAAGAGGGAGAAAGAAGAACTGGAGAAGTGACATGAAGGCAAGATGGTGTTCAGTGACTACATGTTGCTCCTGTCCCTGGATTGGATTCCAGCACCAGGGGCCTGTGTCTACTGCTGCACTGTTACAATTATCATGGTTGATTCTGGATCTACCAAAGTAGTGCTCCCTTGACCAGGGCCCAGTCTTCATTGCCACACCAGCAACTTCCAGCACCTGTTGCATGGAATCCTTACCTCTGCCCCGTGCCATCTGATCTCCTGCCAGGGCCTCTTTTTGGCAGACGTTAGCAAAAAGCCTAAGAAAATGCAAGGGAGTCAGAGAATGAAGGTTGCAGACGTTGAGCTTCGTAAAAAAGCAGAACCTGGAAGTGGGTATGTGGGGCTGGGAGACAGATCCGCTAAAGGTCTTAATCTGGCCACCATGAATCTGAATTCCCTTTGCCCTTCATCCTTGTGTTCAGCGGTCATATTAAAAGTTTAAGCCTCCATGCCTTCAACTTTCTCTTTCACAGCATTTCCTCCATGATACTGTGAACTGCCTTCCGCTACCCAAATCTCAGATCCTCCTCAGTCTCGAAACCTTCCCACTGTGCCCTTAGGAGCTGCTGCTCCACAGCCTAGATCTGCTGCCTCTTCTCTGAGCATTCTGTAGTTACGAATGGAACTCCTTTGAAAATGTAAGGTGGCAACAAAATTCTACATTTCTCAGCATCTTTTTTCCCCTAAGGATGGTCACTTGTCACAGTTCTGGCCACTGTGATAGAAGAAGCTACTGGCTAGAGTTCTAGGAGAGTTCATTTGAGGAGCTTCCTTGTGCTGCTGTATACCCTTTTTCACTGTGTCTCTTCCTCTTTGCTCCTGACTGGAATTTGCATGTGATTGCTGGAATTCCAGCAGCCATCTGATAATCCTGAGGAAGAGTGCCATACCCCTGGGAAGCAAAAAGATCAATGAACTCTGGGTTGCTGTTGACATCTTGGACTCACCATGCCAGACCTGAGCTGTCTACTTCTGCACTTTTTGCTATGTCAGAAGAAATTATACTCTTGCCTCTTTTAAGCTGTTGCTATTTGGGTTGTCTGTTATATGCAGCCAAACTCGACCCCTAACAGATACACATATAAACAACTCCCATCCCCCACCCTGGGCTCTGGGCTCTGGGCTCCACAATTTCCTCCTTTAGTGACCTTCTGTGCTACGCTGCCCCAACTTTCCACTCTCAAAGTCACACCCTACACCTTGTCATCACCCCTAGCTATTCCACCTTCCAAAACTTGAACATCCACCTCTAACCACGGCTTCTTGTCCTCCCAGCATGCTCTTCCAAATGCTTCTACCTCAGAAGGTCTCTCAGTCTGCATCTCCCAACCCACCAGCCTCTCTTCACTTGCCTCCCTATCCATTCCTTGCATTCCAGGCCCTGTGACTGTGACTCTGAAAACACTCTTGCCAATATGCTCAGCACCCTCCCCATGCCTTTTCACTGCAGTTGTCAGGCAGAACTGCAGGCCTGGGTAAACTCAACCCTCTACTCTCACTGAGCATGTGGTTGAGCTCTGAACACCACAGGAGCCAAGCATGCAACAGGGAAATCTGCAGTCACCTTCTTCATTTGAGCCATTGCCATGCCCACCATTGTTACTACACTCCTCTGCTCAACTCCCCTTTCTCTCAATGCGCGATGATCTCAAACCCTCCCCTTCTCAACTTCGCATTCCTCATCTCATCACTTTCTTTTGGCAGCAGACAAGCACCCACTTTAGAGAGACATCCCCTAGTCTAGAGTCTTTGCCGTGGTTTGAAGGTCTCTCCAAAATTCATGGTGAAACTTACCTCATTGTGCTGGTATTAAGAGATGGAGCCTTTTGGGTTAAGGCCCAAAGTCATGAGGATTCTGCCCTCATGAATGGAATTAATGCCCTTATTAAAGAGGCTCAAGAGGGCTTCCTGGCCCTTTTGCCTTGCATCCCTTCTGCCATATGAGGACACAGCATTTGTCCTCTTCAGAGGATGCAGCAACAAGTTGCCATCTTGGACACAGAGAGCTTACCAGACACTGAATCTGCCAGCACTTTGACTTTGGACTTCCCAGCCACCAGAATTGTGAGAAATAAATGTGTATTATTTATAAATTACCAAGTCTGAGCTATCTTGTCATAGCAGCAGGAATGGACTAAGGCACTCCTCCTCCCAGCTCCAGACCACGTATCCAGCTGTTCAGCTGACCACTTCAAAGAGCGAGACCATGGAATATGATCCAGTTTCAAGGATGGATGAGAATGTTTCAAGTCTGCTTTTGCTTTTGTTTGACCTACAATTAAGAAATCATCCAGTGGATGATGGAAGGATCATAGGACACTGATATCATTTGGGTACACATTGTACTTGTTTGGTTAACCCTATTTGGATAAACTGTTGTGGTCTGGGTTTAGTTGTATGCAGCCAAGGTCATCTATGATCTAATGTCTTCATTAGAAGATACTGTTCACCAGAGTACTACTTCTCCTGCCCAAGCTCCTGATGAGGATTGGCCAGCTGAAAATCAGGGTTAAATCCAACTCCATAACCCAAGGAACAGCTACTCCCTGATGCTGAACAAGGCCAAAGCCATATACTGTGAACAAGCACAAAACAGAGCAAGCGAAGCCCAGACAGCTGCCTCTCCTGCAGTTGAGGGTAATTTCTTAGCAAAGAAAACATTTTCTTTTTGGAAAAGAGTTTTAGATTGGCTTCAATGCTTGGACAAAAGAGGTCAGCCCTGCAAGGTCCATGACACTAAGCATAGCTACAATGTATTGAAAGCAGGCATTGCTGATGCCCACACAGCCCTAAAAATTGCATCTCAGTGCCCATACAATGTATAAGTTTAGGCAATTCAACTTCATGGTGAACTTTTCAAGGTAAATTAATTGAGAAATATCAAAAAAGCATTTGCCAAAGTAATACTTTGACGTTTCAAAGAGTTGATCTAGAATCAACCTTTCATACAGTGGTTGAATAGTGAGAACAGTTCCTGCAGATGACACACCTGCTATCTGATGATGGAACCACACCATCCCCAGAAAAAAGCCCCATTATCCTGTGTTCTGGAACAGAACAACAGCATATCCCAAAGTGGTCCTGAATAAAATGTGCATTATACATTAGGCTGTGGGGGGGGTGATGGGGACAGTCCAGGACACATCCCTACATCACTCTCATCACAATTATGATCTGATTTACAGAAAACAGTATCTTTGAAGTGGCATTAAAGTGAAACTTCTGGATGAGCAAATGTGGCCAGAGGTCGACATTTAACTAAGTAGCTTAATTTATAAAAATGTCTGTCCTCAGTCAAAGGCCAAGGAAAAAGCAATGGTAACTGCATTCATTCATATACTCATTAGGTCTTTCAACCCTTTTTCAGTGCCTACTTTCTGTGTGCCACGTACTGAGATGCCAAATGAAGAGGCAGCAGCATATAAATTGCACTTTTTTCCCCACAGTTTTCTATAGAGCTCTGTTATGAACTAGACACTGTTCCTGGTGATGGGGATTTAGAAATGAAAAAGTAACTTCTCTGCGTTCTATCTAGTGGGGGAAGGGAGATATAAAGAAATAATTTTGTGGGAATATAAAGTGGTACAGTCACTGTGGAAAACAGTATGACTATTCCTCCAAAAATTAAACACAGACTTACCCTATGATCCAGCAATTCCATTTCTGGATATATACACCAAAGCTTTGAAAGTGGGGACACAAACAGGTATTTGCATACTCATATTCATAGCAGCATAAGTCACAATAGCCAAGGAGTGGAAGCAACCCAGGAGTCCATCAACAGAGGAGTGGATAAGCAAAATGTGATCTATTCAGTCAATAGAGGATTATTCCGCCTTACAAAGGAAGGAAATTCTGACACACACCACAACATAGATGAACCTTAAAACATTATGGTAGGTGAAATAGACCAGTCACAAGGGACACATACTGTAAGATTCCTCTTCTGTGAGGTACCTGGACTGGTCAAATTTATGGAGACAAAAAGGAGAGTGGTGGTTGCCAGGGGTTGAGAGGAAGGGGGAATAGGGAGTTAGTGTTTAATTAAGTCCAGAGTGTTTTGGGGATGATGAAAAAGTTCTGGAAAGAGATGGTGATGCTCGTGTCATAGGATGAACCCTGAAACTGGGGTTCAGCCTGGGAGGCTACGTGGGTTCTTGGCTACATGAAGGAAAGAATTCAAGAGTGAGTCAGCAGAGTAAAATGAAAGCACATTTATTAAGAAAAGCAAAGGAATAAAAGGGCGGCTACTCCATAGGCAGAGCAGCAGCATGGGCTCTGCCTATGGAGTAGCTGCCCTTTTATTCCTTTACTTTGGTTATTTTACTTTGGTAAATTTATTCCTTGGATAAAAGTATCCTTACTTCGGTTATTTATTCCTTTTCTTTGGTATAGTTATGGTATTTTTTTATTATGTGATAAGCAAAGAGTGTATTATTCATGAGTTTTCTGGGAAAGAACTGAGGGTTCCTCCCCTTCTTAGACCACATCGAGTGACTTTTAGACATTGTCATGGCATTTGTAAGCTGTCATAGCACTAGTGGGAGTGACTTTTGGCATGCAAATGCATTATAATTCATGTATAATGAGCAGTGAGGACGAGCAGAGGTTGCTTTTGTCACCATCTTGGTTTTGGTGGGTTTTGGCCAGCTTCTTTACTGCATCTTGTTTTTATCAGCAGGGCCTTTGTGACCTGTATCTGGAGAAACAACCTCTGAGATGCAATTCATTGGTTCCTGGGGTAACCAACCTGCCTCCCTGGCAGCCAATGACTTAACCCGTGACTAAGAATGCCAACCTCCTGGGAATGCAGCCCAGCAGGTCTCAGCCTCATTTTGCCCAGTCCCTGTTCAAGATGGAGTCGCTCTGGTTCCAACACCTCTGCAAGCTGCCGGACAATGTGAATGTATTTAATGCCACTGAACTTACAAATGATTGAAATGGTAATTTTATGTTATGTACATTTTACTACAGTAAAAAAATGTTTTGGAAAAGAAACCATTACGTTTTTTGCTAAGATCTTGTTTCATCTTAACACACACGAGATGCCTTGTCTTAATTTTGTGGACAGGCAAGGCTGAATTTCGTTTCACAGATGGAGGACGGAGATTTGGGGACAGAGGGCGGGAATTAAAAACAAGACAAACAAGAGCCTTATAGGGGCAGTGTCCTTCTGAATCTGATCCCTGGTGTCTTGAGAGCTGAGGTGAGGGAAACTCGCCTTCAGGGTCCTCAGGGTCAAAGCAATTTGTTGCCCTTGAAATAGACAAAGCTCCTAACCTTTCCAGTTTTTTATGAACAGCTCATTCTGATGGGCAGTGACTTTTTCCCACCCTGTTTTCAGGAGCTGACTCCTGGCGGGTTGGTTGTAGGGGCTCTCTTGAGTGCTTCACACACATCAGTCCTGTTGGGGTGAAGGTCACCATCACTGTGATAATTATTGCTGTCGTCATTGAAACCACCCAGCCCTAAAACAGCATGGGCTCTGCCCAGCGCCTCCGTGCTAGAAGCCCACACTTAGAAATAGAGGGCTGAAGACAAAAGAGGACTGCGGGTTCTTGGGCCAAACTTGACCCTCTCAAATCCCCCAACTCGGGGATTTCATTAGCTGAGGATTGGTGTGCCCGGATTTGACCCACGCGTAAACTCTGTTTATAGGTGGAAGAAGGCCTTTGCCCCGAGGCATGGAGAGAGAAAGGTGAGAGGAACAAGGATACGTGGGGGATTCCACCACAGCCTCCTCTGAGACCTCTCTTCACATTGGTTCCAGGAGTAACCAACCCCGATACCTGGCAGCCAATGAGATGCCACATCCCCTCCAGCAGGGGGCAGCCGGCCAGCGTCAGTCCTGTCTTCCTAAAGGAGCATTGGTGGGAAATGCAGGCACCAGCTCCCTCCCTGCTCCAAAGCCCTGTTTTTCCAATTTGTATTTCACTACTTTCCTGTTGAGCTTGGATTCCAGCCTCAAATTCCGCGATTTGGCCAGCATCCTAATCCCCGAGTGAATCTTGCCAACCACTCTGTGGGGCCTGTGTGCTTCCTCCTGGGTTCTAGGGCGCTGGCAGCGTCCACCTCACCATGAACGGGCGCCCCAGCCTCCTGAGGCCTTCCTGCCTGACTCTGGGAATGGCCACTGTCCAGGAATCCCCGCGGCCCTCCATGCTTGCTCACTCAGTCAGGCCCTTGTGGGGATATTGCAGAACAAGTCCAAGTTACTATCCCTTTAAATACAAACTTTTCAGTCTAGCTGTTACCAGTCCAATCCGGAGTGCTTCTGTGCCCTACTTTACCTGATGTGCCAAGCCATCAGCTTGGCTCTGCCCTCCACCAGGCGGTGCTACTGAAATCTCAGCCAGCCTCAGAGTTGAGTGTCCAGGGCCTTCAAATGTCCCCATCCTTGAAAAGGGAACTCCAGTGGCATCTTCTACAGGGAGACCAGAAGCAGCATCTGACCAGGAGACAGCACTGGCAGTCCCCATACAACTGAATCAGCAGGATAAAGGCCCTTCGTGTTAGGCACCAGCGGAGCTGCATCCCACCCCCTCTCTTCCCCTGAGAACAGCTGTGAGAAGCCACCTAATTTTCATCGTTCTGCAACACACCTTTCCCTTCCTTGGGCTATTTCTCCTCTTTCAGCATTGCCCCATCAGGGTTCCAAAGCCCCATTTCTCTCCTAGTTCTTTCTTTGCTCAAGAAAAGCAGCGTGTCTAATAAACTGAGCTATGTATGATTCACTGCCAGTACAGACTGAAAAACAAAATAAACTCTCATTCACAGTCCTTTGTTGCATAACAATAAGGACACGTTCTCAGAAATGCATTGTTAGGCAGTTGCATCATTGTGCAAACAACATAGAGTATACTTACACAAACCTAAATGGCACAGCCTACTACACACCCAGGCTGTAGGCTGTGCTCCTAGACTACAAACCTGTACAGTGTGGTACTGAACACTGTAGGCAACTGTAACACAATGGTAAGTATTTGTGTATCTCAACATAGAAAAGACACAGTAAAAATATGGTATGAAAGATTAAAACTGGCACACCTGTCTAGGGTACTTACCATAAGCTTAGAGCTTACGGGACTGGAAGTTGCTCTGAGTCAGTCAGTAAGTGAGTCATGAATAAATATGAAGGCCTAGGACATTACTGTACACTACTGTAGACTTTAAAACCCTGTACACTAAGCCTACACTCAATTTATTTTTAAAAATTTTCTTTCCTTCAATAATATATTAACCTTAGCTTACTGTAACTTTTCTACCTTATGAATTTTTAAATTTTTTGACTCTTTTAATAACAGCTTAAATACACAAACACATTGTACAGCTATACAAAAATATATTCATTCTTCATATCCTTATTCTATAAGCTTTTTTCCTGTTTATGAAATTGTTTATGTTTTACTTTTTAAACTTTTTGTCAAATACTAAGACACAAACACACATCAGCCTAGGCCTATACAGGGTAAGGATCATCAATATCACCGTCTTCTACTTTCACATCTTGTCCCACTGGAAGGTCTTCAATGGTAATAACACACATTCTTAGTAAATGCAAATAGTCATGGTTCAAATTGATGTAGTAATGATAGACTATTCAATACGTGGTATTGGACAGCTGTTTATATACTCATACAGACCTAGTTAGATTCTGTGGTGGTTCAAAAATATATCCTCTAATTATGACCTGCTACAGGTGTACCTAATTCCTCTGCCTGGAAAGTGTGCTAGAATTACTGACTTGCTTCTAATGAATAGGGTATATTGGGAGTGATGTTTTGTGAGTTCTGAGACTAAGTCATAAAAAGGATAGAACTTATTCCTGAATGTTGCTCTTGGATCACTTGCTTTTTTGGGAACCACCAGCCATGTCATGAGGACACTCAAGCAACCCTGCAGAGAAGCTCATGTGTGGAGAGGCACTTCTTGGAAAGGAGGCCAACTTGCCAGAACCAACTAACTTGTCATGTGAGTGAGTCATTTTGGAAGCAGATCCTCTAGCCTCAGTCAGGCCTTCCGATGATTTCAGTCCCCAGCCTTTGAGTCTGCCCCAAACACCATGAGTAGAGACAAGCCCTTCCCACTGTGTCCACCCTGGCTGAATTCCAGACCATTAAAAAAACAAGAGAAAATAAATTATCATTAGTGTTTTGAGTCACTAAGTTTTGGGCTAATTTGTTATGCAGCAATAGCTAACAACTACAGTCATAACACAAACTAAAATTAATTCTAAAGCACGTTAAAGATTTATATGAAAGCATTCATCTGATGGAGGTATGCAGGAAGTGGCCATAAAAAAATTTAGGGCACCCAAAAGCAACCTGTAGGCTGAGCAGGGTAAGTACATCTACAAGAGCAGCCAGATGGCTGGTTGATCCCTGTGTGTGGCCTCTCTAACCACCCATGGTATAGGTCCAGGAATAGAACTGTTTAGCTTCCCTAGGAAACAATGAATGTGGTGCTTGCATTGTGTTGTTGACACCATCAGAGGGGAAATGGAAGCCCCAGTGTCCAGAAGCTAAACAGAAACACACACACACAAAAGACAGAAGGAAAGAAAAAAAGGGCCAAAATATCACACAAGAAGGGGAAATATAGTCATGATACATGCTTAGCTTCAGAAAAGATTTATATAACATCTATATCAAAATCATAATGTAAACACTGTGCAATGATTTTCAACTTTTAGAATCAACCAGCAAGAAATAGCAAAATATATCATTCTGACTGCAGAATCAATTGTAAAAGTTGTAATCCATAACAATGTCAAAGTAAAAGAGTAGATAACAAAGGAGAAGAGATGGAAGTTAAAAAGAAATGAAGAAACGTATACGGGGCAAGTTCCCTCATCTTCCAAAGTGAAGAGAAAAATATTGCCTATAGTTGATAAAACAAGAAGTAAAGATATACATGTATACTTTGAATTTACAAAGATAATTAATAAAAAAAAAAAGTCTCATATTGGGATGGGAACGTGATTAAAAAAAAAAAGTGAGGTAAATCCTTATCCATCATTGTAGTACATCACTTGCTGTATCTAGTCTTGACATATAAAAAAATATTAAGAACAATTTTTTAATGGTATGAAGAAAATGATCAGAAAAACTAAAACCAGAAATAGTTAAAAGGATTGCTTTCAGCAGTGAGTCTAGGGTACAGAGATTTGGGCAAGGTGTTATTATTTCACACTTTAGGAACTTCTATATCATTTTCTTTAATTATTGAATGTATTACTTTAAAAAATTAATAAATATTTTTTAAATTCCAGAATGGTTCTTCCTTTAAAATACGTATTATCTTTGTTTTTACAACTAGGATGGCATTTGTATAACATAACTTACACAAACAAGTATTTAATTCTTATAATAATTCTGCCAGGAAAAAATTATTGTCTCTCACTAATAAGTGGGAAAAGTGAGCTGAGAAATGCTAATGACTTGCCCAAGATGACTCAATAAGTTATTTCTTTGAGAGTCATAAAATCTTAAAATATTGACTATGTCTCACAAATGTCTCATGAAGAATCTCACTTTATAGATAAAAATGTAATGTCAACAAAGACACAAAATTTCCCACTGGGTTACAAGGATTTAAAGAGTGAGCATGGTTCCTATTTCTCTGTGGGACATGGTGACCATCTATGTATGCGTCGGAAAGCTAGAAGCAGGAGGAACTAGGCAAGAAGCAGTGATCTAACCATAACCCTTTGACATAGGTGTTATTATTAACCACATTCTATACTCAGGGCAATAGTGCCAGAAATAAGCATTGTGTTCATCAAGGTTGCACAGATGGTCAGTGGTGGAACTGGAATTTGACTCAAACTCTGGGACACCAGAGACATGCCCTCTATCATTAAGCGGGGAAATGGGAAGAAAAACGGAAGTCCAACTTACCTGTGAATGGATCATGTGGTGGTTGTAGTGATTCTCTGACTGCAGAGTCTAGGACAATGTTTTTCTCTTCTCAGATTCTTAGTTTTCTTCTCTGTAAAATGAGGAGTTGAGCTAGATTACTTCCCAATTATGCTCGAACTTGTAATGCAGCAATTCAAACAATTCTTGGAAACAGAAACAAGGACCTGGGAGAACCCTGGCACATTATACGCACTTGGTTATGTTTACTGAACAAATGACTAAATAAAGAAAACAATTTGATAAAATTAGAAATTTCTGAAGACTCCATGAACTGTCAAGTGGCCAGAGATAAGGAAGCATCAAACCCATCTCTCTCTGGATTAATTGACTGTCATTCTTCTCTGAAGTAACTTCAATTCACCAGGTTTATGTAGGTTTGATTAAAAACAATAATAACAGCAACAAAAGTCCAGATGTAAAAGTGTGCCCTGCTATCTAGAGAGGGAAGGGATAAGGAAGGCTTTGTTCTTTAAATAACCCTGGGATTTCTTTGCAACAGTCCCTGTCTGGGCACCACATCTCAGGAGTGTGTATTTTAACACCCAACACCTAAGCCAACTGACACATAGCAAGTACTTGGTAAGAAATATTATGAAAATCACCAGCAGTTTACGGGTTTCTCCCCCTTCTTACATATGTCACCTAGAACTTTCTTCCAAAATCAATTAAGCTTTGAAATACAAAGCTGGGCAGAGAAACTATGATCAGATCTCAATAACTAGATTGTATTTATCCAAAATCCTTGGTTGCGAGTATCAGAAATAAACTGTGCTTGAGTGATCACAAAGAAAGTGTTTGTCTGATATTCTAAAATCAATCATTGGAATTCTCAATATTAACAGACTGTAAAGGAGAAATCACATGGTCATGTCAGAAGACACAGAAAAAGCCTCTGATAACACCCAACATCCGTTCCTGATTAAAAAAAAAAAAAAGATCTCAGCTAACTAACAACAGAGGAGACCTTCCTCAACCTGATAAAGGACATCTATGAAAAAACCTACAGATAACATCATACTTAATGGTGAAAGACTGAAATGCTGCTCCCCTAAAATCAGGAACAAGGCAAGGGTGTTGGCTCTCACCATCTCTTTTCAACACTGTACAAGAAATTCTAGCTGATGTAGTCAGGCAAGAAAAATAAGTAAAAGGAATCCAGATTGGAAAGGAAGAAGTAAAATTGCCTTTATTCACAGACACCATGATCATCTTCATAGGAAATCCACACAAAAATTTACTAAGACTAATAGTAAGTTCAGCAAGACTGTAGGATATAAGATCAATATACAAATTTCAATTGTATTTCTATATACTAGCAATGAATAAACATCAGAATTTAAAAACAATATTAACAATAACATAAAATAGCATAAAAACAATAGCAGAAAATACTTAAGGATAAGTCTGACAAAAGATGTGAAAGACCTGGATATTGAAAACTATAAAATATTGCAGAGAAAAGTTAAAGAAAGAAATAAAATTAGGCATACTTAACCAAGTAACCCTGGGGCAAGTTTTCTTCCTCCCTATTCAACTGCAGCTGATGCACTCCTGAAAATAACACCTCCTGGCTTGAGGCCAACCAACACAAAACCAGCGCACTAAACAAAAATACAACCAAGGACCCTCAGAGTCCACTTCACTCCCCTGCTCTCTCCACCGGAACAGGTGCTGGTATCCACAGCTGAAAGACCTGAAGACGGATCACATCATAGGATTCTTTGCAGACACTCCCTAGTACCAGCCCAGAGACTGGCAGCTCCACTGAATGTTACACTCAGAAGAGCAAAAACAATCACCGCACTTCGGCTCTCAGGAAGCCCTATTTCTAGGGGAAGAGGGAGAAAATCACATAAAGGGAGCACCTAGGGGGACAAAAGAATCTGAACAGCAGCACTTGAGTC